TGTTAAACAATGCCACATTATTGAAGGTGCCTTTTAAAAGGATTACTGATGTATTCACCACCATTGTCTGACCGTGGGATTTTTATGGATTGGTTGAATTGATTTTCAACAAGAGCTTGTAATTTTAGAAATGTTTCGGTTTTATTATACAGCAGGTATACCCAACAGAAATGTGTAAAGTCATCCACAAATAACATATAGTATTTATAAGATTGAAAAGATGAAATAGAGGATGGTCCCCATGCATTGATATGTATATACTCTAAACATGAAGGTTTTTGGGTGTAGACAAAATAAAGGGCAAACAATGACATTTAGCTCGCACGCAGGTAGAGCAATGAAAGATAAAAGTAAACAAATTGCTATTTGGAATAATAAATGAAAGTAAATGCTGATTAGAGGGGGACGGGTGTGAGACCCTTAACTTTTTAAGTTAATTTTTGGAATTTGATGATATTCGTCTTGTACGAAATTGAGTTCGTTCGGGACGAACTGTTAGAATGTGAATTTCGTCTGTACGAATAGTTGGGATAAATTGAACAAGTTCATATCAGAGCTAATCGTCAAGGGATGAAATTAATTATCGTACGTATGATCTGCGACTAGAGGAGATCGTCCCTGTACGAAATTAATTATCGTCCATACGAATATAGTTTGAACGCAGTACAGAGCCGATCGTCTTTAAACTAATGAAAAATATCATCATGTACGATTAAAAATATCTACTCTCTATTTAATCGTCCATTTGATCCGTTTAGAGAGAGAGAAAAGCAGGAGAGAGTCAGAGAAGGAGAAAGAGGAATAAACCGGATTTTTGGGCGTCTTCGGTCCATTCTCGTTCGACGACGTAGTTGAGAAAGTTGTTCGACTCAAGGTAAGACATATTATGCCTATCTCGATTTTCAAATATGAAAGTTTTTGACGAATTTTCCGACTAAAATTTTCTATCCGTTAGCAAAAAACAGGGATAACTTTGCACCGATATAACTTTTACCGCATAACTTTGTATATGTTATAGAGACGATAATTCTGCACATTCTAAATATTTTTTGGAATTTGTTCACCGGCCATTCTGAAATCTCAGAGGGTTTTTATTGAATAGAAAATTATCGGGATGTTGAAAAATAGTGCTACAGTACAATAAAAGTCTTAAAACATTGTTTTACACATTCTTTGCTAATTTAGTAATTTTTTGAAATTGAGCATTTTTACCTCGTTGAATTTTCTGTTGTTTGCTGTTATACAATATGACGATATTTTGATACATTTTAAGTGCTTTGTAAATATTATAATGTTATTATTTATGTGCTCATGTGATGAATGTTAATGTGCTCATTGATTAAATGATATCTGTTGGGAGTTATAAGGGGTCAGAATCTTTCAAGATTCTATCTGTATCAGGGAATAAAAGGGAGGCATAAGAGGGCAGAATTCTTCAAGATTCTGTCTGTGTTAGGGAATAAAATGGAGGCATAAAGTGCCAAAATCCTTTGAGATTTTGTCTGGGTCCGAAAAATATGATATGATCTAAATAATTATGTATATCTGATATGTTCTGGTGTTGTAAGCATAAAGGAAGTCATATGGGGCTAGAATCCTTCGAGATTCTGTCTAGGTCAGAGAATTTGATCTAAATAACTATGTGATATGAATATTATTATTTGATTCATATGTTCTGTATTATTATCTTATTAATGTGTTTTATACGAATATATGTTGTTAAGACATCTATTCTGTACGATTATTTGAATTCTGAACAGTTATCTGAATTCTATACGGTTATCTGAATCTATCTTAATCATAGAACATGTGCTATGTATTTTTGTTCTATGATTTTCAGTTCAGTGAATCATGTTAAACTGCAACTAACTGGTTTTAATTATCTTCAGTAACATGATTGAATTATAAGAATATTTGAGAATTTAGATTGGCTAGTGTGACTTGCTGAACTATTATATAGCTCATTGTGGTTTTATTCATACTTTTCAGGAACTGGTAAAGGGAAAGAGATTGAGGACTAGCGGTTTAGAATCTGATCTGAAGTTATAGGTATTTTGTTATTTTAATTTTTGTACAGTCATGATTAGTTTACTTTTCAGTTATATAATGTTTGTCTGAAGCCATGTACTGTAATGTATATGATGATTTTAATGAATGAAAGGAATTTTGTGGATGAGTTATTCAAATATTTTAATAGCTCTGTGGTTTCATATTATTTCAATGAATATCGGCATAAATTTTGAAAAATAATTCTGAAACTAGATCCTGGGGTTTATCTGTCACGGCTCAACTCGATAGGACCTGTCCTGGTCGGGTTGGGTTATGACAACGGGTGACCAAGACATTGGTGCTAGCAGCTTGAATATGGACTGGTTTGTGTGGAGTGCATGAATATTTTTGGAGCAAGCCGAAGAAGCAACGATGGGCAATTTAATGTGGTAAAGTTCGTGAAGACTGGGACCATGGATGAGAGTCTTGTTGGTCGTAGCATCCTTGATGATGAAGCCATGAGCATCAAATATAATAGAACAAGAATTGTCAGAGGTGAGCTTATTGACAGAAAGTAGATTAGGAGATAAACAAGGAACATGTAAAATATGATGAAGATGTAGCTTATGAGAGGGAGTTTGTAGGGTTCCTTGACCGAAATTAGCGATGGGTAGGTACTGGCCATTGCCGACTTGAACATGAGAAGAGCTAGTATATGTTTGAGGGGAGTTCAGCTGCAAGAGGTTGGAGGTTAAGTGGGAAGTCGCACCAGAGTTGAGAAAACAGTCCTTAGGTGGGGAAGCATTAGAGGCTACATATGCTTGTTGAGAAGGTTGATATGTTAAGGTCTATGCGATGCCAGCATTTAAATGTTGAATGCCCAATTTTGCCACATATTTAACACTGAATGGTTAAGTAAGGTTTGCAACCACCCTAATTGCCAACTGGTGATGAACATCCCCCACACGTAGCAACAAAGGAGAAGTGTCTGCGATTTGAACCAGAAAAAGTCGGATGACCACATGAGCGACCTCAGATGGCTTGTAAGGCAAATGCAGAATCGGTTGAGGGAACTGCAACATTTTCTATAGATGATTTAGCTCGAAGATTGAGCTCTTCACTGCAAAGGAGTGAGTAAAAGTCATTAAGACTAATAGGTTGAAGTTGTGTTCGAATGTCTGTCTTGAAAGCATTGTATGTGGATGGTAATCCATTTAATGTATGGAGAATAATATCTTCCGGATCAATAGTTGATCCAGTAGCTGTAATTGCATCCATGTTTTGCTTAATAACAAAGATATATTGCACCATGGTATGATCCACCATTTGAAGATGATGTAGTTCACTTTTCAGTTGTAGTTAGCGTGAACGTTTAGTAGATTTCAAACGTCTTTCAATGGTTAGCCAATGTCACGATAGGACTCTAAGTTGAGAACATAAGAAAGTAAGGAGGTCTAAATGGTGGAATATAAGGCAGCTGAAAGATTTTGATCAATCAATATCCATGTTTGATAGTGAGGATTGAGGTTAACAATGCCGTCAGAGGATAAAATTTATTTTGGAGGTTTTATGGAAGTACCATCCAAATCCCATCAAAACCATTTGATGAGAATAATTTGAGTATCTGTGACTTCTAGATGGAGTGGTTTTCAATGGTGAGCTAAGCGTTGATTATTGTTTTAACATTTGTCATAAGAAACTTCAGTTGGGGTGGGATATCAATATCATTCATCTTAATTGGTATAGAGAAAGACTGCACCATTGAAGTTGCAGATGACTCCATCCAAGTCGATTGAGAGAAGAAGCAAAATAAAATTAAAGAGCACTATGCTAGTGGCTCTGATACCATGAAGCATGAGTGGAACCTTGCATACATGTATTAAATACATGCATTGATAAACCAATATAACAAAGAAAAATCAGTTAACGAAACACGAAAGAATATTAAAGCAATAAGCAAATTTTTGTATATCTCATATTCTACTGTCTACAGTTGTACAAATATATCACTTAGCCTTGCTACTGGCACATCAATAGTTCGATACGGAGCAAAGGCCACGATTTTCTCAAGTACAACATATTGACGGTGATGATAAATTGATTCTAAAAATGCATGTGACACTGTACATGTTTGGTGGAGATGCAAGTTGACTGATTACATATTTCCATAGCTTATCATATAAGTCATGTCAGTTATCAAAAACCAGTCAAGATGAGTTGTTGAAATCTAATAGAGCCCAACCATAACATAAGATCGATCAAATATAGTCATGTGAATACATGAACCAACTAAAATGATCTGATGCAATGCAATAGAGGCAAATAAAGGAAAAATCCCAATGACAACAATGAAGAATATTTCATCAGGAGTCCAATGAGAAAGCCAAAAGGAAATAAGACAAATTAGTAACGTAAAAAAAATAAGCAATTTTAATTCCTCCACATTCTTCCAGCCTGTAATTTTGAGTTGAACTACTTTGTGGGCTCAAAAAATTTGTGCATTATCCTCTCTGCGCTCTTTTTTGTCGACGGTGAGAGTTTTAACAAATTAAATTTCAGGGTCAATTTTTAGAAGGCATATTGGATTTTAGATAAGAACTACCTAGAGATTTCGCCCTTATGTCGCAAGGACTTTAGGATTTGAGGTCTTATTTTTCATATGTACAAGCCCTTATAGTTAATTACACCTCCTAATAATAAGAAAAAACTTTCAATTAAAGCTAGTCGTTAGATAAGTAATGAGTACCTTATTTATTATTTTTTATAAACAATGAGTACCTACCATATAGTAGCAATAGTTTTAGGGTTTTGAAATCAAATTTTTAGGATTTCCAAAATTTAAAAATTATCATCGTGTACTTAAATAAATTTTTAGGGTTTTGAAATGAGTACCTACAAATTTTTATTAATTAAACCATATAATTACTCTTAATTATTTCTTAAACATCCACACTGGAGATTACTATAAATAGAATATAATTAAATATTGAATCGTAAAACTCATGATTAGCCTTCCGCCTGATCGAGAAGTGCGCGAGAACAGAGTAACGACCGGCTTCTCGTATTTCCCTCGTCTCCTTTCGTTTTCAACTCCTGTGGTTCTTCTTTTCGTTCTCCTAACCACCATGAAAGGGCTTCCTCAAAGAGCGGCGATTCTTCATGTTATACTCGTACAAGAAAGGGTGTCCCAGATTCACATTCTCCTCAAAGGTCATTGGAAAAATGAATGGTCGGACTCCCTAGGGTTTTTCATAAACTCCCGACAAAATGTTTGCTGGAGAGCAAGAGGGGAATGGATTTCCTGCGGTCGGAGATCCGGCTCGCAGGGTTTTGACTGGGGAGAGCAGCAGCATACGTGGGTGTGGAGGCAGCGGCGAGGACGAGGAGGTGAGGTTTTTCGACAGCGAAGGGTTTCCTGACGGGTTCGGAAGGGCTGAGAAAAATGCGCTTGTTGGGAGGATCGCGGAGCTTGAGAAGGAGGTTAGTTTCATAAAATAGAAAAAAAAAATCTTGTCAAGCCTCAGGGTTGCCGCCTGCATATTAAAAGCTTTGGTGTTCGTCATGTTTGCATGTATAATTAATTAAAATTATCATTCATTGAATGATCTTTAATTTTAATTCGTAGTCAATTTTTAATAATAGTCATATCAATTATCAAAGAAAGCTCTTTCAACTTATATTATATTTATCTTAAAATAAAATTTAAGCTTTTAATTTACAATGATAAAATTTTGATTATAATATTCTAACATGAAGGGGCTTGGAAAATCCGCCCATGTATGAAGGGAAGCCTTGGAGAAATGTTTGTCTTTCTTGATTGGGACTTAGAGGTCACGGCTTGAGTTATATAGAATTTTAAGTTTTTAACCATTATGTAATAGAGGGATAAGACATCTTATATCAACCTTTATCCTTGTACTCCATTAAGAGGAGCTTCGTGAATGAGGTATGCCTTTTTTATAATAAATATGATTTAATTATTATTATTTGAGCATAAATAAAAATAATCAAATGATGTCAAGCATAATTGTCTTTCTAAGCATCTTTTTATTTTCACTCTCTTATTGTTTAATTGTGATTTTATTTTGTATAAAGATCAAACGCTTGGTACTAATGAAACTAAACCTTCATAACTATGTAAGGCTGATTTTTCAAGCTTGACAACTTTTCAATCAATAAACATATGGATAACATCCTTGGACAGCCTACACAAGGAATATTTTTATAATTTTATGTTTAAGTTGGGTATCCAAATGTAGAATGCTTGCTTTTCTCCATGTCAACTCTTTATTTTCCAATTTTAAATTAAAAATGAAAAAAATGGAAAGTACATTTACATATCTCAAGAGTTCGGCTCAAAATCAAGTCGGGTGGGCCCAACTCAGGAGAATGCGAGGAACTAAGACATCGAGCTTGCCAGGCTCATGATGAATTCACCAAGCTCATAATGAACTGCAAGGCTTGTGATCTTGACAAAGCATACATCGCCCAAGGCTCTATTAGGCTTGCTCGCCTAAGTGAGAAGCTACTCACGCACGCTATACTCAACTTGCTAATGATTTCACCTAACAAGTTAGCGACTTTATCTAGCAATTTCGAACATGAAGATGGCGATTTCAGCTAAATGATTGTTCACATGTATTTTTAATACTTTTCTTGTTTTATATTATTGGGCTACACACCTCGTGTATCTAGATTTATTTTCTTATTCTTATGCAGTCTTTCATACAACATCAAAATCCTCACCTAAATCTATAAATACAGGGTTTAAATGAGATATGAGGACGTAAGGACTTTTATGCTCGTCCCTATAATTTTGGCTATCTAAGTGAAATTTAAGAATTTCTCTCCCTAAACTCTTTTTTTCTCTATATATTTTCTTTTTATCTCTTCTCTCGATTTTCCAATATATTTTTTTGTTTTGTGTATGTTGAGGTTATTCCGTTATTGTTAGTTTGATTCTGGAATTGCCCATTTATATATTTGGATTCTATAGTATATACTCCTGGCCAAATATAGTGAACTTTACCGAAGATGTAACATTTCATTTTTCATGCTTGATTATGACCTTTTGCGTGTCATAGTCGTGGAGCAAATCAACTCAAAGTTAACATGATAAGCATCAATTTGCATGAGATTGATTCTCCATGATCAACCCAATCAAATCAAGTAATTTTTCACCTTCTAGATTTGAATGTTATTAAATACTCTAACTTTGGTTCAAAGCTCTTGAAAAATTACCACAGTGCTTGGATAAATTAACTTGGCCCGCTAAGATTGAAGTATTCTATTCTAGACTAGCGCAAACTCCTTAGTACAACTAGTTTGCCCAGTATGTATAGGTCAATCATATAAAACCAAGCCACCCCATTTATCTATTGGAATGTTCAATATCACCACTTTGATTAGGTCATTATCGCCATATCAATTCATTGTCAAATCATCAACCAACATTTTACCCAAAGTGTTCTTTGTGCCTTACACATAGCAAATATCAAGTTTCATTTATCTGCCATTATTATAAGTTTGTCTCATAAAATTGTCATTACTAGAAGCTTGTCGGATATGTTAGTGATCGTTTGAGCATTATATCATTCAACTGATTTATACAATCCTATTTAGCATTTTCCCATGCATCTGATCATGTGGTCACCAAACTACTACTCTTGACGTGTAAAAGGGACTTTTGACCATTTATACTTTGAGCTATCTTGTTGAGATTGAACATTTACATTTAGTCCATACAAACTCACCTTTGCACTGTTCTTTTAATGTAATGTAATATGCTTCACTTCTTTGTAATGACCTTAAGTTGATGTAATCGAAACATTAAATCTCATGCTTTTTCTGGAATTTCTTGTATTTGTTCTTTGCATGTTTTTACTTTTCTCTCAGCTAATTGGTTGTAACTTGGTTTGATAAATCTTATTAATTGGGATTTGGACATGTACTATTCCATGTGTCATTCATTGAATTTGTGTTACATCTTTTTGATGCTCTTATTGAGGTCTTGTTGAATTCAACACTTACTGGATTTTAAATTTATCAAATACTTTAACTCTGCTTCAAAACTCACGAAAAAATAACCGCATTGCCTAAACAAAATTAGTTTGGCCCACCAAGATTGAAGTATTTTGTTCCAGACTACCTTCAGCTCTCCAGAACAACTAATTTGCTCAGTTTGTATAGATTGATCATATTAAGACCAAGACACCTTGTTTATCTATCAAAATGCTCGATATGACCACTTTGATTAGGTCATTGCTGCCATATCAATTCATAGTCAACTCATCAACCAACATATTATCTAAACACCATGCATGCTCGACACCTGTCTTGTTCTTGTACTTGTGAAATTATGGTTTGCAAAAAGGTGGAGATTTTATATTGGAGAAACTTATAAATGTTAAAGATGTTTTTAGTTGAGTTTCGGAGTTTGCGCGTGTTTTCCAAAGAGATTAGATGGTGAATTAGTAGCAAGTGCGATACTACGTCTTAGAAATCCTAATCTTGCTGACTTGACATATGTTCTTATTTCCTTAAAGTTTTCTTATGGAACATAACTGGAAACACTTGAAGGGTTTTGGGGATGTTTTTATTTTAGTTTTTGTGTTTATGGAATTTTTCGAATGAATTTTAGATGTTGAATTGGAAGCAAAAGTAAAATTACTGGTATTAGGGAGATTATTGAAAATCTAATATAAATGACTTCTATTATTTATGAGATTTAGTAATTTTTCAAAGTATATATAGCTTGATTATTTTTGTTGGTGGGGGAGATATAGGGGAAGTATTAAATTAGATTAAGAACTACAGAAGAAATATAATAGGAAAAAAAACCTCTACAAGGGCCTCTTGGTCACAAAGCCTAAGGAGGAAGAAATTGCAGAAATGCTTGCAATTTTTTTTTTTCAATATTTCACTAATCCTTCATTACATCATTCCATACACTTTTATATAGCCTTCCTCAATATTTTAAACAAAAAAAGTTGAAATTACAAGTGGTTAGAGTGATGGTTCGTTGAATTTAGGTGGTGGTTGGGTTTTTGCTTGGTGATGTGGAGGCTAACCCTTCTTTTATGGAGAGTGGACTGATTTGGCTTCTTGGATGGCGGGGGATGATTTTTAACCACCCTTGGCGTTCCCTAAACACTATGGTTGAAGTTTACAAGTTACCATTTGGCTTCCCGCCAAATTGGGAGTCAATTGGAAGTGCCTTTGCGGGTCACTCTCAAGTTGCATGGTCTTGATTTTATCAAAAGTTCTCACTTACTCCATGTGACATTATACTGCACCTTTTGTATAAAAGACTCATGAAATATTTTTATATATCTTATATGATTTAAATTACAAAGACATAATTCAAATATACTACTAAGAGGTCTTGAGTTGGATCCTCTCCCGCCAAGGCTTCTGAGTTACGGCCCAACAAGCCTCAAACCAAGGATCCTCCCCCCGTTGTGTCGGAGCAGCCAGCTAGGGACGGTCCCATAAACCATGAGGAACAGGAGGATGGCTCCTTTGGGGAGTGGAATCTTGTTACCCGGAGGAAGAAGAACAAGCACAAGGGGCCGGCTGGGCCTCCTGCCAGTGTGCAGAAGAAGGATACCGACCACTGTCCCCCGGCCCGGGCTACGAAGGACATTCAGGAGCAAATGGAGGCTATCTCTAATCGAATTGTTAACCCGAGTAACCACTCCCCCAAGAGTCAAAGGATCACCTTCAGTGCTTTAAAACCGGCTCATGATGACTCCAGCTCAACGATCAATCTTTCTAAGCGACAGCACAAGGCCCCTAAGACGTTTATGGAGAAGCAGCTTCTGCAGCTTGGGCCGATTACTATCCTGCCCAGGAAGAGGAGGAAGAACCTACAAGACGACACTGGCGGGGACTTTGTCCCCTTTGAGGAACAATGATGCCTTACTCTCTTTCATGCCTTAGGGAGAAGGTAGTGCTTATCCGGCTGCCGGAGCAACGAGATACCTTTCTGCCTTCGGGCGAGTTGACCCCTTTCTTTGGTATCTCCCCCCTCTGGAGCTGTTCTTTAAGCATTGCTGGACCTTCTAAGGCATGCAATTGGGGTGGGCCTCCTTGCAAATCAAAGGGGCTTTTCCTTGCTTGTTTCCTTGTTTTTCTTTTGCTTTGTCAGTCTTGTATGAAGCTTTGCTTTACTAGTTTAGCTCTTCCCACCTTTTGTTTTTTGTTGTGGGAGGACATAGGTTTGGTTTTCCATACTCCTTTTGTACTTTCTTTTTAATCAATGCAAATGCAATCTTCAATACTAAGCCAATACATATAATAATATAATAATATTACAATGTATGACATAACTAATTAGACACATAAAAATTTAACTAAAACAATATCAACAATAACAACATCAAACCTTTATCCCATTACATGAGTTTTTCTTCATTGTGTCCTGACACATAAAAATTTAACTATGGTCATTAAATCTGTCGTAGACATTTTTGCATCACTTCTTATTCTCTATTTTTAAATAAAAGTACCTGGAAGTGAGGAATAATGGTAGGAATGCCACCGCATGAATAGATCTAGAATTAATCAAGCCAAAAGCAAAGAAAAATATGCTGTTGAATTCATATCCTCTATAGAAAAACTGAAATTAAAATGGACAAAGGAAAAAAAGAACCAAAAATGAAGAGTGACTTCCATAAGGCTATGTTCTTGTGTAATTCTATATGGCCTAAGTTAAAATGAATGGTAACCTAAAACCAAAGACTACTGAATTTTAACGAATAATTTACGCAAAGAATTGGAGAGGATATCAAATTTCACATACAATATTATATTGAAGTTTTTCAAGAGATTGAGCATGCTTAACTTCATGTGGTCTTCAGTTGAAGTTCTTTCGTGCTAGATTGCCTTAATGGAAAATCTTATTTTGTTGTCATTTTGTTGGTAATAGGAATTCAAACTTCATTTAGTTGACAGAGGACATCTTTCCTCCCTATTTTGGAGATGCTATATTCATTTGCTCATTTATTCTCATTACATAGAATAATTTCAACGACGCCCATAATTTCCACATTTTTTTTTAGTTGTAATTGAGTTGATTCAAATTTACAACTGTTTGCTTATTTGCCATTTAGTTGTTCATTTTGTTATGCATCTACGAGTTCAAGATAAAAATTCGTTTATTCATTACTGATTTCCTGATTGTTATTTTGTTCAGCTTCATGATTACCAATATCATATGGGTCTACTACTTATGGAGAAGAAGATGCGAACTTCTGAATTTGAAGAGCTCAGGAAAGAATTGTCAGAAGCCAGGGAAAACTTGAAACTTGAGCGTGCAGCATTCTCCAGTACTTTATCTGAAAACAAAAAGCAGGAGCTAAGTATTCAGATAGCTTTGGAGACTGAAAAGAAGCATGTTTCTGATGTATGAAACTAGCAGATTACCCTTTTCCTCTCTCTCTCTCTCTCTCTCTCTCTGTGAATTTGCACCTGAACTATTTTTTGACAAGGTCATTTCAGAGTATAATCTTTTTGTCGTTTTCAACATGGTATTGTCTCAAAACTGATATCGTTTAGTTTTATTAAAAAATTCTCATAACCTTTTGTCAAGGGTGACTAGAAAGGCGTTTCACTTGAGGCATTCTTACGCAGTATTTCCTTTTTACCATACTCAGAGATTTACACTTTATCTTTAAATAGCTTCTTTTGGTTTTCTAATTAAACTCAAATGATCGTCACATCTACTTTTAGGTTTCTATAAGATTCTTTGAAACATTTGTTGCTCAAATTGTCAATAATATGTTGGACGAATTTGCTCTTTGACTAGGGACTCTTCCTTTTTTTATTACGTTTTTTCCTTTATAGCTTAGATGCCGCGAAGGAAGAGCAGCTTTGTCTGAAAATATGGGGCTTCTTGCTTTGGAGAAGGATGTTAATTGATCATAAGAACAAAGCTCATTAGCGATGCAGCCTAGAGAATGCCTATATTTGTTCCTCTCATGGATGGAAACTGCACCTTATTCATGAAATTCACTTATCATATCTTATTGTATTTTGGTACACTAAAAATAAACAACTGGAAGCCTCTTGGTATGCAAACTGGGTTTGAACCCCTCATTTCTCCACCTTAGCCCAAAGAAAAGTTTAGTATAAGACAAGTACGCCATACATAAACTGTTATATCTTTTTTATTCATTCATGACTAACGAAGTTGCAAAAATAATGATATTATCTGCTGGAAATGTATAAATGATAATTTTGTATGGGATCTCCCTTATAAAAGCGGGTTTACAGTAATACAAGTAGGAAATGCTTTGAGAAAATTCTGAAGGGAAAGTTTATGCAATGGGAGAATGTTCTATTATACTTATTAGTATATGTAATTTGCGTTTAGTGTATTAGTTGAATTAGAGTAGATGAAAAGAGTTTTACCACTATTGCATTTAGCATTAGAATACTTGCTTTATGATGAAAATTACATGCACTACATAAAGTTGCTCAAAATTACCTTTCGTTCTCTAAAAAAATAATTTTTTTTACAGCTTGAAAGGACTATTTACAAAATACTAGCTGTAGAGAAATATCTTCATGATCAAAGAGAAACTCTGCAAAGTTGGGAACCAAGCCTGCAGGAGCATGAGTTGGAGCCCAAGGGATCACAGAACTTCCTTGATGAAAGGATGATGGACATAACATATGAGAAAGAGGAATTTAGTGAAATACAGGAAGAAGTTGAAGAGAACCCGAATAGCTTTGTCTTAAAGAATAATGCTTCTAACTACAGGGAAGCTTTTATTAGCGAAAGACATCAAAATTTAGCTAGTAAAAAGAAGGTTCTTTATAATCTTTTTTCTTTATTTGTATTGCCATCGTAGATGTTCTATTCTCTTACTCTACTTTCTTCATTTGTGTTACGTTGATGGCAGGATGCTGCAAGTAAGCAAGAGAAGCTAGAAAAGAAAGAGAGAGATCTACTTACCACTCAAGTAAAGCTTCCTACTAGAGACAATGTAAGCTCTTATTTTTTCAGTAATGTTGGGAATCTATGTATCGAAAAAAAGGTAGTTATGTACTAAGAAAATCTTGAACCCCCCTCTTTTCCCATTTGGCACAGGCTCTGCAATCCGAGAAGCTAGTGTTTGACCACGAGTTGGAGGGTAAAAGAAAATCATTAGACTTTGAATTACAGGATAAATTGAACAAATTGGGTATGCAAAATGATGTTAAGGGAAAAGATGAAAGCCAGACCATAGAAGATCGCTTGGCTCATAAAATGGAAGTTGAAACTGATGAAGTAAAAATCCAGAAGGACAGGGAAACTCTCAACACATTTTATAATAGGCTGCAGAAGTTTAAACAAGAACTTATGAAGAAGAGGGATCTTTTACTTTCTCTATCCGAGCAGTGCAAGGCCTGTATGAACTGTAGTATTATATTTAGTGACATAGACCTTGGAAGCCTTGAAACTTTTGAAGGAGCTGAACTTGCAGATGACGCCAATGAGAAAAGTAAATTGAACTCGCTTAATGCTGATAAGCTGGGAGGTAGTGCAGAGCAACAGGAGGTTCTCTGTCATGCAACATCAACATTTGAGATTGATTCATATGATAGAAAAATGCAAACCATAAATGAAGGATCTCGTAAAAGGCAGAGAGCATTTGACATTGAATTTAATTTTCCTGGACAAAAGCGCTACAATTTCAGACCTTCAACCATGTCAGTGATCTCTCTCTATGTCAGTTATCTCTCTCTCTCTCTCTCTCTCTCTCTCTCTCTCTCTCTATATATATATATATATATATAAGCTACCCTAGTGAAATTTGTCTTGCTCATGGTACTTTATAGTAAAATCACTGTTTTTGGAATTACCAGAACCAATCCACATTACCTGTATTTCTAGGTTTCAGCTAGCATCAATCTTAATTTTGTCTTTTTTTTTTTTTTGGCTCTCAACTAACACGCCTCTTTATTTGGCAAAACTTTTGCCATGCAACATTACCTTGGCTGATTTTGTCATCTATTAAGGGCTCCTTTGCTCTTTTTTGAAACATCGCCACTGCAAGTGGTACGATTCAATCCCATCACTAAATGCTTACAAAAACCCTTCAAAGAAATGTTGTTAAGATCACATTCTTTAGAAGTAATGTGTGCGAAGCGCAGGAAAAAGCTTATCACTTTCACTCAAAAGCACAGAGAACTAAAGTACATTTTCAGGTGGTGAAACAAAAACTTCACTTCTAAAGAGCAAAGCTTTCAAAAACACCCATTTTAGTTTTACAGGTTGTTTTGATAATATAGTGTAATAGTGACTATTTTCTTAACTTTTATGTTTGCTTAGTATTTTTAATCATAGTTTTTCTTGTTACTATAGTGATGTGAAACATATGCATGGAAACAAGAACTGCTTAGGGATTTTTAATATAAGATTATTAAAACTTTGCTAGTTATAGAATTAATGCTTACCCAAGTTAGATTTTTAGAATTCTCAAGTCGAAATTATGTAAGGCATGCGGTTACAACTAGATTAACGGGACAATATCAAATTGACAACATATAAATAGAGAGTAATGTTATGGTGAGAAACAATAATCCACGGTTAATAAATAGAACTCTTCATCTTGGGTCCCTCACTCACGCTCTTGAC